TCATGATCATTCTGCCTCAAGACATGCAGGTGCTTAGCCGGAATACGATTTTATCTTCTGAAATAAAATGTGGTTCATGCTGACATTAAAGAGATATTAAAATATTTACAATGTGGATAGACAGAAAAACTATTGCATGAAAAGCTGTCTCATTTTTTTACAGAAACGCAGGCTGTACACAGGGTGGTTTGTGTTGTGATACACTACCTCACTAACCCCAATTGTAGCACTCCACCCTAGACAACTATAGGTGTGGAATATGTCTGATTAGCAAAAGTGTTTTTAAAAAATGAGACACAATGACCTTCCTCTGTAACCGTGGAATGATTATTTAACATAACCTTTTCATTTCTGAACATTCGCACGGTTTCTTTTACTGATTTTGCTGTTAGGTCTGCCTTCCTGAGCTCCCCTCATGGTGTTTTTGTGGTTAGACGTCTTTTTTTCTACTCTATATATGACGTTCTCCTGCTTTTGCAGCTTCTTGATTTATCGCCACCAAATCAAGGACAGACGTTTCTCCTGTGCTAAACTAATGCCACTGATGTGATTTGTGATCTTTGCTTCTGGTCCCTTTTGATCCATTTATAGAGATCTCCCCTAATCCACTCACCGCCAGCACACAACCACTCTAATAAGCATGAACGGACACATGCACAGCCTGCACAGACAACCTGCCAAACACTTGGGTGTGTTAATATTTTATTTAATGTTTGTAAAACCTTAGAAAAGCCTACCCTAAAGAGTTATAGCTTTCAGACCCTCATTTCATTTTGCACCTGTACATGTCAAGCTAAAGTGTGCGTGCTGAATGAGAGGAAATAATGTTTTACTAAGTGCATTTACTGGTTTCCCCTTTGCATGGTTTCATTTTTAAGATGGTGAAAGCATGGCAGTAGTGAGTGGGTGGACTTGACTAAGGAGGGGGGACTTGGCTATGCCCAGGCTAGAGGAATGAAAATGCACAGACTCTAAAGGCAAATCAAGAATTGCATCACTCTACTTAGCTAAAATCAAAATGAAAATAAGGTCAGATTGTTACTGGGGTTTATTAAGTCTGCAATACTATCCTAAAACTGTACATTAATCCAGTCCCTGGTAGCTGTTTATAAGGAAGTGTGACAGGAATTCGCTGTGGCAGGAGAATGAGAGCAGTAATCGGCTCAGAGAGGAGAGTAACGCTGATCACAGAAGACAGCAGAGAGGAAGGGAGAGTGAGGAAAAGGGAGATTCGGGGAATCGAGTCAGCTAAGGATGCATAGGATTTAGCATCATCTAACTTGAAGAACTGTTTTGTTTTCTTGTTGTTTTTCTCCTCCTCTGATGGATGTTGCATTGTACACTGTAGAAAGCTGAAGTATTAATGATTTTTTGTCCCTTGGGGAATACTGCACTCCTGTCTGTTTCAACTTCTGGTTGCTGGCTGTCTTTGCAGTGCTATTAGCATGAGTGCAACACAACCTGATATAAACCAAAAAGATCTATTTGGATCATAACCTGTAGATGAGTGCATTTTCCTTTTTTGGTAAAGATGATGGGTGATCCAGTTCATCTGTCAATGTAGTAAGCTGTGGGTGGACAAGAGTAGTTTTTTACAGCTTATTCAAGGGAAGGAGAAAATAAAATATTGGGTATATGGTAGCTTTTCCTAAATGCAATTAAATAAAGCTAACGGATTTTGATCAGATTGTTGCGAATTACACTGTATGTGATAACAAACCAAAATATTAGACACATTAAAACTTTGACCTGATGATGGTGCTAGAATACAGGTTAAAGGATCACCACAGTAATCATTCTAAGGGACGTGTGCGTGGGTCTTTGTGTAGGTGTGTGAGCCTTTATGGCAGTTTATCAAATACTTAGATGTTCACTCACAAAATCACAATTAAAGACACGTGTTGTTTCCGTACAGGAAGTCATGGGATCACTAGCGTCATGTGTAAACCATGAAATTTCATGGCAGTCCTTTTAACAATTGTGGAGGTTTTCTAGTACAATAACACTCATGAACCAATCCATAGCCATAGAAAACAGTAGGTCAACTATGAATATAAATAATACTTAGAGCTATAATCACTGGAAGCCTCTTTCTAACTTTCTAACTGGGCATTTGACCTACTTCCAGCTGATTTAAAAGGACACATCCAGTTCACTGAGTCACAGGTGTCGGCTTTTCCAGCAGGAATGTGTGAAGCTGCAGCTGGTGAAGCTTAGGGGGGCTGTTTCTTTATTTTTTATTCATCGTGCAGCACACACATGCAAGCCAAGTGGAAGAGGCTTATTATATACTGCGTGGGGGAGTTTATGGCGTGGAAGGAGCTGACTCTCATGAACCTTTGCTTGAAAGCAGTCCATCTATCCCATGAGTATGGTTACATTTTGATAATGGTCATTTGTAACTGAGCAGATTTTTCACTGTTTCATTGCTGGAACATTAACTCAACAAGGAGGTGTATAAATCAAATACTATATTGTGTCAGGTTCCTTTTTAAGCTAAAGGTTCATTCTGCCCTAAGTGGGCTATGCTGTTCATCCTTAAAGGCAGAGCAGGTGTATAACCAGATGGATCCAGCAGGCAACTATCAGCTTCCAGCTAGCCAGCCATGCTCAGAGAGATATAGTACCTAGGGATAGCAAGAGTGGTAGTAAAAACATTCTAAATTTGTCTTTTGCTAGTTACAATTGCTGTTTCATGTAAAACAAAATCTAATGTATCACTATATATATCCACCACTTTGGGATACACTGAAACATTTACTAAATGAGATTCAGTCTGGACCCCTGTAGTGTAGAGAAGATTTCACTCTGCAGTGGTTTATATTTAGCGGTGTGGCTGTGTCCTGTGACCTTCCTCTAATGTACATGAAACCCCAGAGGCAGGGATGGAAGCAGTAAGACCTTGACAAAGAATAGAGCATCAGTATAACTTTGATTAAATAGAGAAGAAATCATGAAAGGTGGACCTGAGGTGAAGATGGTGATTTGCTGCAACTGCAGTCTGACTTAAAAAGTAGGCCCTATATAGGATTTGTCATTTGTGTAGAAGGGTATCAGCTAAGCCATCAGCTGATCAGCTTGGACTGCAGCTGAGCTTGACTTTGAGAAAATGCAATGCTCGATTTGAGGTCCCCAGACGATGAATCTAATGGCTTTGGTGATCCCCGGTCAAAGTGTGTGGAGCACAGAAGAAAGCACCATTATTAACAAGTGTACATTTGTGGTTTTTAGTTAAATGCCTTGACAACTTTTGGAGTGTTTTTTCATGACTGTAGACTCTTTACTTATTTGTGCTCTTTGCAGGTTTTACAATATTGGGTTATTGCTTTGGTCTGTATGAAGGAGAGGAAATTTAAGTTGTCAGTTCATCAGTTCATGCCCTGAAGCTCAAGCACACTTGGGTTATCTTTGTCTGATAACAGGAAGAGAGAGAGAATAGGTTTTCATAGCACTGTATGTAAGTATGTGCCCAAACACCAAAGGGGTAATAGAAAGTTAAGTATAGGAGGTGGAATATGTCATAAATGGGGGATCAGACATGATTAACAAGAAGACAGGGATGGAGGGATGAGGTGGAGATTAGGGCTGAATGTCTGTGATGGCCAAACCCGTGGCCACACTCTAAAGTCAATAACTCTTGTATTTTCATTTCTTCATTTGAACATAGTAACACACTTTAGTTCCCAATAACTTTATTGATTGGTTTGGATACATCTGTTCTATTTGTAAGCGCGCACATTTAGTTTACTTATGTATTCATATCACTTCATTACTTACTACTAGCCAGGGTTTGAAACCACTAAATGCAAAAAGGGATAATTGGACCACACCACCACTTCCTACTGAAGGGGAGAATGTGTGTTTTCTTTAATTTAAAAACAAAGTATTTGTATGTAATTAAATATTTGAGTTTAGGGTTTAATGGTTTTGATTTTCTTCTTTAGTGTTTAGTTGATAAACAAACTAGATTGTACTGCATTGTGTTGTGATTTATGATTGTGTTTGTTTGTTACCCCCTTCATGTGTCACAATGGTCTGATCAGCCATTATATATATACCCTTGTATGTCATTTGTGTTTAGGTCAGTTATGTTTGATTGGGCAGTCGTTTGGTTTGTTGTTTGCAGTCGTTGCCTGAGTTCAGTTTTGTTTCTTTGACCTCTTTTATGAGCTCAACATTTATTACTTTTGTAAATATAATTTTGGGGAGTTAAATAAATGAAAACCATATTTTTCTAATAATTCCTGGGACGACTCCTGTTTTTCAACTCGGTCCATCACAATGTCACTGAATAGCAAGCTGAAGTTGTGTGTCCCATCCGCTGTAGGTGCCTCATTGGTATGTGAGAGAGTGCATCTCCCCTCTCATCTCTATTCTAAGCCTATAAAGTGCAAGCTGCCTTTTTGCTTGCCAGCCAAACACTCACACAAAACCCACAAATAAACCCATGCCTGCCAATAAGCAACCTCCTCTCCACTGTGTTTGCTCCTCCTCGGTTTCAGGCAACATAGTAACAAGAAACTTTTTAACTGTTGCCAAAAAGTTTATGGGTTTTTTTTTTGTTTTTTAAGTCTTACAGGTGATTGGCTTTAGCGCAGTAGTTTTTTGCACTGTGAATTTAATGCATGGAGGAATCCCGTGAGATAGAGGGAAAGAAAGGGTAGATTAGTTCAGGAGTAGAGGAGTATAATTAGCCTAAACAGCAGAAGGGGATTTATGCTCTGCCGGCTGCCCTCTGCTTCTGCTGCCTTCCACCCTCCTCCCCTCTTGTCCTTCCTTGGAAAGCATTGCTTCTCTCAGTTGTCAATAGTTCCACTGACGATGTGTGTGTGTACTAGGGGTCTGTGTGCGAATGTGTGTGAAGGGACCTGGGCTTGTTCTCACCTCTAGTGTGAACAGTGTTTGTTTCAGAGTTTATGCAGACAGTGACTCAGCTGTTTGTGATTCTGCAAGCTTTGCACTGTGCGCTTGCCTTGAGTCCTTAATGTGGCTCTGCAGAGGACAGTAGGCTTATCTTATATGTAGCCACTGCAAACATCTCTGCACAGGAACACGTGTGAGTGCATCTCTTTGTAATCCTGAGTAACCTGGCACATTAAAAGACGGATCCTTCCCATGTCAGCATTTGGGAATTATGCTTTGGAGTCTGTCAAAGCTTTAAAAAGTGCAGCGAGGGGTCTCTCTCTCTGGATGACAAAGTTTGTTTTAGAGGGGTGAGACCAGCAGCCAGCTCTAATGTCTCTCCATGAGTTTCTTCGGGAGGGCGGTGAGGCATCGTTCCGGATCATGAACCGCCTCAGTCATCTTATGCAGAACTTGGAATTCTCTGGACTGGGCTCGGCTTTCCCTTTCAGCCCTGCCAGCCGCAAGAACTCCTGGAGAGCCTGGGATGGTAGGACTGAGAAAAAAGAGTGTATTCTGTGTGAGAGTGAGTGTGCATGTGTGCACGTATACTTGCAACTTTTTGTGCCTGTGTGTGTATTTGCGCATAATATATTTTTCATTGAAGCTAGTATGTAGGGCATCACGCCCAGAGACTCACATACAGTGTTTCCTGTGGGCTTCCCTTGCCCCTACCCCCTCTGCTTGGCTGTTTCTGTGTCTTGATGTGTATAACATTTTGTGTGTGAGTGCATGACTGCGCAGCTTAATCAGCTGCTTCAGTATCCAACATGCACATCTCGGCAGCTGCACTGACATTTTTCCATAGAAGCAGTGAAAAATTCTTCAGCAGATGCAGAAACTGCAGCACAGAGCAGCAGAGCTGGTGCAAAGGAATGCTGATTAAAGCTGCTGAGCTAACAGTTTGATGTCGTCTCAGCCAGATTGTTGCCACTTTTACTAACACACAGCAAGAAAAGAAATGGTGAAGAAAACCAAGAAGAGTGTTTCTCAGTGGGATAGTGGGATGCCAATGGTCCCGCTTAAGCCATGTGAGTCAGGGGTCTTTTTTCAGTGTTTTTCTTTATCTGGGAGATATAGAAAGCAGCTGTTTTCAGCTATTCTCCTGCTGACTGTCTATATAAATATTTTAAAACCTTTTGTATTCTTCATATTCTCGTTTCCCATGTTTCTCTTTGTGATTTTGTTAGATATTCATGCAGTGCCTGCTGTAGGTTTTACTTCTACATATACAATTTGTGCATATGCATGATCTGAACACACAGTATGTGCATTTTTGTCTGTACCTGAAGCTATGAGATTTCAGAGGAAGGTTTTCATTTCCTGTCCTCCCAGCTCTGTTTTAGTCATTAGCTATGAGGAGAAATTGAGAGAGGGATCTCTGTTTTTTTAGATGTTATGTTTTGTAGACTGAGACTATTAACTCTGACACCATGGAAAATTCTCAATAGAAAAGATTAGCAAATGTTTTGGTGTAGTAGTTTTGTTTGATTTCTTGCATTTGCAAGTAACTCATAGTCTGCCAGTCCTTCGCTCTTCTTGTTGATCAAAGTGATTTTTGCACATTTGTCGCAGCCTTTATAATAACATTTGTAGACAGTGAAACTGTATACAGAAGTATGCTAATTGGCCACTTTATAGGAACTGCTCATTGATGCAAATATTTAATCTATGTGCCTACATGTGCAGAGTTGGCAGCATTTAGACATGTAGACTTGGTCAAGATGACCTGCTAAAATTCAAACTGAGCATTAGAATACATACACCAGTGAGTTTACATCAGAATGAAATTTCAATGCATTTACTCGCCATCAGATTGCACAATCTCAATAATAAATAAATCTAAAAGTATAAAATCTAAAAATATAATCTAAGATATGTGCACATAATAATATAAGAGAAATGAGTCCATATACATTATTATTGGTAAAACTTTACAGAATATTAACAATGGAGCAGAAAACCAAAGTAAATCATTATTCCAGGCATTAAATTGCCCTGTTCTAAATATACAGATGTGAAACGTTTAAAGAAATTTGCCTTGTGCAGAAAACAAGGAAGAAAGTAGCCAAAAAGGCTGGTCCAAGTGTTTCAGAAGCTACTGATTTACTGGGATTCTTCCATAAAATCATCTCTAGGGTTTACAGGGAATGATCCAAAAGAAAGGAAATATGCAGAGAGCAGCAGTTCTCTGGGTGAAAATGCTGTGTTGATCTCAGAAGAGCATCTCTGAGCATGTCAAACCTTAATGTAGATGGACTACAACAGAAGACCACACTAGGGGCTATTCCTCTCAGCAAAGAACAGGAAACCGAGGTTACAGTCTGCATGGGCTCACAAAAAGTTGAGCCTTTTTCGAGCAGAAAGGAGGGGAGAGAGAGCAAGGAAGGACATGCAAAGGGTCACAGTTTGGACTCAAACCCCGCCTGCTGCGTTTTAGCCAAAAGGCATGTGGCTTCCACCACTGAGCTAAGCTGGCACTCTGACTTTCAGTTTATGATGCAACATTTGATTGGTTGAGTCAACTTTGTGTAAATAACATAAAAGAATAAATCCATCCTGCACTGTACCATTCAGGGGGTTTGTTGGGTTATATTGGTATTGAAGATGTTTTCATGGCCCACTTTGCACCTTAGTACTGACAGAGCATTGTTTAAATATCACAGTCTGAGTATTGTTGTTAACCATGTGTCAGTATAGCCATCTTCTGATGGCTGCTCCCAGAAGGATAACCTACTATCTCACAAATCATCTCAAACTGCTTCCTTGAACATGACAGTGAGTTCAGTTTACTCAAGGGGTATCCACAGTCACCAGATCTCAGCCCAGTAGAACACCTGTGTGATATGGTGGAAACAAAGATTTACCCAAAATGCGGGTGGGGTGTGTATGAGTGTATGAGTGTGTGTGTGTGTGTGTGTTCTTAACCGTTTTATGCAGCGTGTTTTCTTTTATTCGACTGACTCTGTGAGCTGATTTGATGGACTGTGCCTTGTTTGACTATCTTGCTCACTTTAAGCTGCATAGTTTTCCAGTCTAGTGGCTTTAGCTTTGAACTTATAAAGTTTATGGCACTGATAACCTGCATGCCCTTGGTCATAAAGCAAATGCCCACGTTAAACACACAAACACACCGATGCAGAGGCAAGCTGCACACACTTTACACAAGTATATGTTCCCCAAGCCATTTAGCACCACTGCATCTTCGTTTAATAGGTATTGGCTGAATTAGGAGACAAAGAATCAAGTCTATTAGCCTTTTTTTTAACTGAAATGTATCTTTTGAACAACTCACTGTAATGGAATCTAAATTGCCACTTTGTATTAAGAGACAGCGTCTTTCTTTGAGAGGTCTCCTAAGAATTAAGTCTTTCAGTAAGTTTGTAAGAATGGGGTCTTTTGAGCGGAGTAAACAAGAATAGAGGCTTTGAATGGATCGAGTCACTGAATGGTTAAATGGGGATGCAGGCAGCAGTCTTTGAATGGGTTGGTCAGAATGGAGGCTTTGTATTTTTAGTCCACATTTCCTGAGATAAGGCAGACGCGGATCACGTGTTTTGTTGCCGTAGGTAAATGAGCAGTGGAAGCTGCAGTACCTTTAATAACCAAAGTGACGCACAGCAGCTTAATGCAGAACCTATTTCCCTATTCTTGATTAGTCATGAAGAGGCATGACTACTTCCTTTTTATTGGTCAGACTGTCAGTTATGTAAAGTTGGAGGCTTTTTAGCTAGTTTGATAACTGTCCTCTTAGGGGAGGTATAAAGGTAGTTGGACCAGGAGAGAGGGTGGGGTCTAGCAGTACACTGTAGCTTTTGTATACAGGGAAGGTAACCTGAGGTTGCAATAGGAAGTGCTCTCAGTTACTGCGTCTGCGGGCTGTAGAGCACCTGCAGCCTGACCAAGAGGTTAAATGTAGTGTCTGGCGAAAGGTAGAGTCAGGATGAGAGGGAAATTGTTGTTGTGATATTGTTTATTAAGCTACATGGAAGAAATGCTGGAGAAGAGAAGTGAAGGAGACATAGACTGGGACAGGAAGATGGGAAGAGAGGAGATAGCAGATTTGGGCTCCTTGATGGATGTAGACATCGAGGTTGAGCTAGATCCTGGGTTTTGCTTGGAAATGGACTCAGAGGTGACTCTAGCTGGACAGGTGAGTCCAGGCTCACAGGAGTGCTCTGACAGTGAGGAAGTGGACTGGTTTGTAATTAAAGGACACACAGATTCTCTGGTTGTGGGTGAAGACATGAAAGAGGGAAGGGCAGCTGAGATTGAGGCGTATTACACGTCAAAGGAGAATGGAGAGACTGATGAAAATGCAAACATAGATATGGAAGATCAGAGGAGCAAAGAGGAAATGGTAGAGGAAGTACTGGATGCATTTTTGGGGCCAAGGGAGGAAATTGGGGTTCATGTCCGGCTCACTATTGAGGAGGTGGAAAGTTACTACAGATTTTCTTGCCGTTGCAACTGGTTATGTGGTAAGTTATACCTATTCATTCTTTCTTTTTTATTGTTGTATTACATTAAGAGCAGTTTAAGTAATGGCTCTCATATCTTCAAGGGGGTATCTTGTTATCATTAAGACATGATATTTTCATTCTTGAACTTTCAAATAATTCTTATTTTTCTTATACTGTGCGTTTGTGCAGGCCTCAGTTCATCCATGGTCTGAGAAAGTAGTTCCTCTCCCTTCTTTTTCTTCTGGAGTGTCACCTTTGATAAGAAAAGAAAGGCTAATATTTATTTCTCTCTAAAAAATACCAGAGGTTCAGAGAGCATCACAGCACTGAATTTGGACAAGGGCCAGAAATGACTGACATCATAATGTAAACCCAGTAAATCATTTGACCAAAGAAATCGCGATTAGGTGCTGAGCCACCACAAGCAGCAACAGTGCAAGTTGACAGAGATATTTGAAGATTCTGTAAATCTTCTGAAGGGATTGAACCATACTGCTATTCAATTTTCTATGCATCCAGCTTTCTGCCATTTATGTCCAGACAACACTTCCAACTTATCCCCCACACCGCACAATTTGGATATGCCCACAAAAAAAGTCACTTAGGAGTAATCAGGAGCCCAAACCACATCACCTGGCTGCTTTTGAAGTGGAGGAACAACAGCTTTTCATCCTTTTTCTAAGACCTTCAGCTGAAGCTCTGTTGCTTGTATCATTTTCTTTTGTTCACTACCTACATAGCCAAGGGCGAGGGTAGGAACATAGATCGACCAGCAGATTGACAGCGTAGCTTTCACATTCAGGTCTCTTTTCTCCACATCAGACCGGTGCAGCTTCTGCATCACTGCAGACGCTGCACCAATCCATCTGTCAGTCTCCTGTTCCACTCTTTCCTTGCTTATGAACAAAATCCGATATACTCGTAGAGCAATTTATTTGCTTTTTTATACTAATAAACTTAGTGACCTCTTGTATCTTATTAATGGGAATGCTGTATTACTAGGAGCCCAAACCCAGTAGGATAGAAA